GATAAGGGCTTGGATGGATGAGCTGTACGATGAGATCACTCTATCCAGTACTGTCTGAGTTGACCCTAGATAATGATGTCCAAAGGCGTGGAATGGGAGCCTACTCAGTCTGCCAGTTGGAATCCACCAGATGTGAGGCCAGTCATCACCTGGTGGAGGGCCTTGAATACCAAGTGCCTGGAGAATAGGGTTGGCGGCTACATCCCAAAGCCATTGCAGCATGGAAGGGCTAGTTAACGAATTCTGACTCTCTTTCTCGTTCATCTTGTCATTGGTCAAATTGGGCAGCGATAATGATCTAATTTGATGTGTCTCGACAAGAATCGCGTCACACCGAAATTTGCTGAGGTTGACAACCACGATAGGTCCTAGACTGGCCACCGCTCGGATGTCATCTTCGTTTGACGATTCCAGAAAGGCACTGAACCCCGGATGTTTCCGAATCTCCAGAATGAGACTGTCTAATTCGACACTTGCCTCGTCTCGGTTGTTTGCAATGGCTTGAGCTGAGATCGAATTGCCACCTTGAATGGGCTTATCGAGAATCTGGCTAAGTTCCAGGAATCGTTCTGCGAGATCAGGATGAATCTCTTCTAGTTCGATAGCATCCACACGGATCTGTTCAACTGCTGAGGCAATTACTCCGCGACCTTTCTCAAGTACGCTTAGTGCAAAAAAGGGCTTTTCGCCAGCGTGAAGCGCCACAGCTGCGGTATCGCGAGCAAGGTCTACTATTCGACTGAGCATACGTTGCTTGTCGACGAAGCCAAGCGACCTCGGGGTCAGTTGCGGCAATAGGCCGAAGGTTGCCTGAGAAGCACTAAGAGCATGCTGCCATTGAGAGGCATGTGCGTACGTCTCAAAGAGAAACTTTCCAGCTGAAATTCTTGTTTGGATGTTGGAGTTAGAGTGGTCCATAGCAGACCGATAGAGATTTACGGCAGCGTCAAAATCATCCATGCAATTGGTCAAGGTGTGGCGGTTCCAGTAACAGTCTGCAAGATTGTTCATGTATTGAGCAAGACTGGGGTTTCCTGGTTGAGCGACAGTAATGGATTTGTGCCCCATCTTGATAGCCTCTTCAACGTCATTCGCTTCTCGATTTCGAATATACCGTTTCACAAGCCAGATGGAGAGGTTATTCGAAAGACCATGAACATCTGCATGGCCTTGTGGTAAGGAGTTCAACGCCTCTTGTGTGAGTTGAATTGCTTCATCAAGGTCATTTGTGTCGCCTGCCCTGAGGTAGCGATCTCCAAGGTGACCAGCAAGGTTGGACTTCAAGAGAGCTTGATCGTTTGGTTCCTCTCCGCCAGCTTTGGCGATCCCACGACAGATGTCAATAATTTTGTTGAGCTCTGCAAGAGACCCTGTTCTTCCATATCGTTGGTGTAGCTGGTTTGCCAGAGTATTAAGTCGCGCTGGTCTCTTGGGGCTATCAAGAGGAGTCAGGTCGACGGCTGACTGAGCCACTTCTATTGCCTCTTCAAGATCTATAGAGGACCCTGTTCGCTTGTAGCGCTCTCCTAGGTGATTTGCCAAGTGCATCAGCCGAGAGGCTCTGGAATCATCTGAGTCTACTGCCACGTCAATCGCTTGGCGTGCGACTTGAATAGCTCCTTCGAGATCAGCTAGTGATCCTGTTTGGTCGAATCGAATCGCCAAGTTAACACCAAGGCTATCCATGACAACGCCTCGGTGAATGTAATTGATCGGAGCGGTATCGATTGCTTCTTGCCCAAGCTTGATCGAACCCTCCAGATCAGCGAGTACCCCAGTAGCGGTAAATCGACGACGTAGAGCATTCCCTAGCTCGTGAAGCCAGATGATGCGATCAGGGTCATCTGCTGGTGCTACATCGACAATCTCTCGGGCCATGTCAATGAAATCATCCAGATCATCTAGGAATGGTCTAGTTTCACTTTGTTGCGGCATAGAGATGGATTTCCTGTTGACTTCAGCCGCGCGCAGACTGACAGATGTACTCTCGTACTGGTCTTGGTATGTGGGACTCACAACAACCAAATCAAACGAACAAGACCGGTTAAGTAACGATTTTGGATGCCTAAAGGACGATGCTGAGGGACAATCTGACGCTTACGCACTCGTTCTGCGGCCTTTGCATATTTGTGGCTTATCTTTCACCACTCAGAGACAATGGAAAATCAGGCTGTAGGCAGCCTTGCCAAGTTGTCTCTCGGGAATGATGACTTGCATCTCGGAGTAATGGAGCCCGAAGGCCAATCTATTTTCCGAGAGAAAACTTTGCATCAAGGCTCATTCATGCCAGCGTCTGGTATATAATGGCATGGAATTGAGGCTATTATACAGAGCTTCGGTGACCGATCCATTAGGCTTGATGTCGAGATAGCGTGTCAACCCTCCCTCCTGGTACGTATCCCCCGCAAATATCACCCCCGCATCTCCACCGATTGACTCTAAACTCTAAATTATCCCACCCGAGCTGTTTATAAATCATGAACTGCCAGCAGAAAACATTAACTACCACCTTCGCGATAGAGACGTCATAAACAGAAAATCACCCAGGTGTCTGTTATGTCATAAGATACCAGATACTGACTCCACAGCGTGAGTAGTGCTTAATCCTATGTGAGGCACGCGATATAAGCTATTAGCTTACCTATAAGGTCTATTGACTTAAAATAATACTTTAATTTTCTATTTTAGCCTTTTGATTTAATATTATTAAAAATTCTTCTTAAGATATAAGCTTATATATTTATTAGAAACGTAATTATTAATTAAGGCTATTTCTAGCTATAATATCTATAGCTAAGAAGGACGCCCTCTTTACTTCCTAATCTCGCTGTTAAGACACGGCAGTTCAGGATGCTCAATAGCCGACCTCATGCAAGCAGTAATCATTCTTATCTGTTATTGAGATCTGGTGACCCAAAAACAGGTACTGTATCTATCAGCTAAGCTGAAACAATCATAGTTCATGTGGGATCCCGTTAGTAGCCTCGGTTGGGGAACTTGGGGAAGCTATCTTCCCCTCCGACTTGACTTCTTCAAGAATGATCTCCGCATTTTGAAGTCCCGCGCCAACTGCCGAACTCTCATCCGGTACTTCATTCATGTTTAGAATCAAGTGGGTTATCTTAATATTTAATTCATGCTTCGGTGTGTTAAGTCACAAGTACCATCTCAGTTGCGAGCCATACGTCACGCTAACACTCAGGTTTCAACGTCAACATGGAAGATTTTACCTCATTTGTTAATACTGTTAACGGCGCTTCCGTCAATGGAAAGGTGACACAGGGAACAGATCCTTCGACGAGACAAAAGCTTTGGGATGTCCCAGTTGCATCGTCTGACGACATCGAGAATGCAATTTCTGCAGCCAAAACTGCCTTCGCACAGTGGTCTAAGACGCCCTGGTCCGAGCGACAGAATGCCCTACTTGATGCGCGAGATGTCTTGATTTATCATAAACCTGCATTGGCGCAGCTGATCACAAAGGAAGGAGGAAAGCCTGTGAGTGGCACCTTTACTTGGGCTACCTCAACAGTTCTGACCGTCGCAGATCCAATTTGCCACTCTCGAAGTTGAGCATTCGATCAACTTCTTACAGTTTAATGGTAGGTTAGGTCTTCGCCAAGAGGAAAGCTGCTCTAATAAAGCACAGCGAATCAGGAGCCACTTCAAGAGCAAGTGATCCAAGATGACGACGAACTACGATTGACGATCCGAGAGAAGCCACTGGGTGTCATCGCAGCTATCTGTCCTTGGAATTATCCCTTGGTCCTCTCCATCGCCAAGGTCGCCGCAGCCCTCATAACTGGTAACACAATCATTGTGAAGCCCTCGCCTTTCACTCCCTACTCCATCTTGAAGGTCGTCGAACTACTGCAAGGTGTTTTTCCGGCGGGTGTTCTCCAAGCCCTCAACGGCGACGACAAGCTGGGACCTGCACTTTGTCAGCATCCAGGAGTTGATAAGATTACTTTCACTGGCTCTACTGCCACAGGAAAGAAGATTGCACAGGTGGCCGGAAATCTTCTAAAGCCCGTCACACTAGAGCTTGGAGGCAACAGCGCGAGTATTGTCTGCCCAGATGTCGATCCAAAGATCGTGGCCCCGCAAGTGGCAATAGGATCTTTTATGAACTCAGGCCAGCTTTGCGTGGCTAGTAAGCGCGTTTTTGTCCACGAAGATATCTACGATGAGTTCTTAGAGACAATGGTCAACACGGTCAAGGAATGGAAGGTAGCACCTACGTCAACCCTCGAGCCCGGTATTATGCTGGGCCCTATTCAGAACGAGATGCAGTACAGCATCGTGAAGGGCTTCTTCCAAGATTCAATCGAGAACGGACACTGTTTCGCGCTGGGCGAGAAGCCAAATGACAGTGGGGACAGCTTCGTCATCAAGCCTGCGATTATCGACAATCCTCCCGATGACGCTCTCGTCGTTACGCATGAAGCCTTCGGTAAGATTTACAAACTCAATCATCTCGATAAGTGATTAATATTGTTACAGGCCCCATCGTTCCATTGATGAAGTGGAAGACTGAAGACGAAGTTATCAAGCGAGCCAACAACACGCTATCTGGTCTTGGAGGAGCTGTCTGGTCAAAGGATGTTGACCATGCACAGCGGTTAGCAGACCGCATTGAGGCTGGCACAATCTGGATCAACAGCTTTGAGAAGCCTTTGCCCCAAGCTCATCTAGCTGGTCATAAGGAGAGTGGCGTTGGCGGAGAATGGGGCCGACGGGGGTTGAGTGTGTATTGTCAGCCCCAGGTGATTCATTGTTACAAGTCTCAAGTATAAGAATGTGCGACCAATAGAGAGCTCTGCCCGCGAGTGTCCCGGCTACTTACGTTGCCAGAGTTACCTTTTCCATCGACGTGAAATCCATACTAGCCTAAACTCACCATAAACATCTTGGGATGTATTCATTATGCCTATAAAGGTACTCAAGGCTCTTGGGTTGGTGATCCTTGAATGTATCTCATCATTGGTACATATGGCTGTCTACAGAACCATTTTGAACTCCGGGTCTCGATCATCTCCATAACCAGTATATTGGTTGTGCTTCCCGTTTTTCTTATCCCGGTTGGTCTTTGCACACCAAAGTACGTTGAGCAAGACACTATGGGGCCAGTGAGTTAGATAATGCTTCAAGCTCCGGTGCATGTACAACAGTCAGTTATAGGAGACACTTACGCGACCCACGCATAGCATAGCAACCCTAAGATCACTCTATGTCCTCTGTGGTATAACGGACCATCCTTCGAGGGATACACGAAACCTATAAGAAACAGTGGTTAGATCCCATGATAGACGATCTACTTTTTGCAGGTATGGTAGAGGGCAGTCTTACTTGCAACAAAACCACCACAGTTTGCGACAGCCAGCTGCAAGGCCGAAGTTGTAGCTCTCTTGTAGTGGCCGGCCGAGTTGTTGGAGTTCCAAACCAAGATGCATGGCACAGAAGCGTACATGCCCAGGGCCATCAAACACGTCATCGCGAATCGAGTGTTGGCTGCTTGTACATTTGCAATAACAGCGTAGCCAACAATGGCAATCGGCAAAACGACAAGGATGATGAGACCGCGGACTCTTGATCGATCCGATATGAACGCAACGAGAACTGAAGGCGGGCGCAAGTTAGTTGGGGACTGCGGGAGAACGGATTTCCTTGGCTCACCTGTGACCGGGGTAGCGACAGCGTATGGAATTACACTCCAGAGTTGAGCTTGGTTGGCGCTTGATGCAATATGAAGGTCATTGACGATGGTCGGAAGCTATAAAATTCAGTGGTGTGCAATCAGATGGAGACAATGACACGTACGAAGAGACCGAATGAGTAAAGGCCGGATAGAATTGCGAAGTAAGCAGTAGATGTGAGCCAAACTTGCACATTAAAGACTCCGCGGCGCACTTCACCCCAGCTGAACTTCTCGTCGAGCTCTGACGCCATGCTATCAAACGTCGTCAATTCAGCTGATGATCAAGATGTTATAAGAGAACTTACGTTGTGCCGCGGTCTTGTTCCAGTCGCTTGACGGCCCATTCTCTCTCCTCTGGGGTGAAGTATCGTGCGGTTGTTAGATTGTTTGGCAGAGTGAAAAACACAATTGATCCAGCAGCGACGGTCTGTGATAATGTTTAGCAAAGGCTGTGGTCATTGTTAAAATCAAAACCTACCATCAGTCCCTCGATGATCAGGATCCATCGCCAACCTTCTAGGTCACCTCGCGGGCCGATGGCAGCAAGTCCACGAGCAAGCAGTCCTTTATACCGTCAGATAAACAGAACCAGATTAATTTGCTACCCCCAGATAACTCACCTCCGAAGGCTCCGGAAAGCGATGCCGCCGTGTAGAATATACCAATTCGCAACGCCAGCTCACCGCGTGTGTATATGCTCGAAAGATAGAGAACCATTCCGGGTAGTAGACCACCTTCTGCCACACCTAGCAAGGCTCGTACAGCTGCAAAGCTGGCGAAGTTGCGCACAAAGCCAAGACACATGGTGATGATTCCCCAGACCACTGTCAGAGTAGGCAGCCAGATCCTGGGCGATACTTTCTTGAGGACTAGATTACTGGGTAGCTCGCTGAAGACGTAGGTGGCGTAGAAGACGGCCAGGCCTTGGGAGTACTGTAGATTGGTGAGACCTAGATCTTTCTCCATGCCGATAATCTTCGCGTTGCCGACATTCGTCCTATCGAGAAAGGAGCATAAAAACAACAGTGCAAGAGATGGGAGGACTCTAGGTAACATGATCAGTTGGTGATGCGCCAGGTGACGGATGGCGAATGGATGAACCTACCGCGTGTCGGTCTTGAACAAAACTCTCCTCGTGAGACGCGCATTGTGCTCAATGTTCTCTTCGAGATGGTCCATCTCCTCGTGCTCGGCCTTGAAGTCCATACTGAGCTGTGAGATCAAAATAAGACTATAGAGGTTTGTCAAGCTTGGCGTTATGCATATGGCAGCAACAGAATGGACTTGGCATGAATTATTTAAAGGTTTTCCCCAGACTCCAGGTTTGCGGGGAATTACAGGCGAGCGGACCCCATATGGCTTGGTCTAAACCGAACTTGTGGGGGATCATCCTTGTTGGAGGTGCCGGTATTCCGAGATACTTTTCGGCATCCAATAGTAGCACCGCCAAGGAGAGTGTTGCTACGCTTCACTGTAGATACGTAAGCGGGCTAGACCGGTATAGATGGCGGTCTGATAGTATCGTGACTATGACGTTTCCCCTTCCCGGGTCCAAATGTAGCCCCGTCAGTTAGAGCGCTGCTACTCTGACTGCGTACGTTCACTGGAGCTATGGCTCATACAGACGTCTATTTGATAGGGATGAATGGCCTTACGATTAGTATTCATCTCTCCGGCGTCCACAATTGGCGCCGTTGGACAAGCACTATAGAATTTGTTTTGCGGAGGCTGACAAATGGATGGGTCGTAGTTGAGAAAGGGCCCTTTCAATATTGATAGTACGGTGGTAGAGACTGTAAAATGCAGGGACTGCACACTAAAGGATACAAGGTGTAGCGACCGTAGAGAAAGACAAAGAAAAACAAACCATCCACTTCAGTTATCGGCAGCCATCAACAAGGATTCTACTCATCCAACAACAATGTAAAAAGGTCCAAAAGCTCCACTGCTTGAGTTCTGATGGACATTGGTGCCCCTATCATTGCTGCCGTTGAGTCTAGCAGGTGAAACTGACCCGCAGACAACACTGCTCGCCAAGGGCTCTTCTAGTCCTTCATGCCGAGACAGAAAGTCCAACCGCCAAGATATGTCCCGTGGGCGGCTGAGACACAAGCACCAAGAGTAACAACAGCCGCAGGAGTAAGAGTGCCAGCAGAAATAGCTTCTTCAGTAGCAGCAGCAGCTCCACAGGCAGTAAGGGCAGCAACGTAAGCGACGGTCAACCCAGCGCCGCAGACACCACAGCGAACAGAAGGGCAGCCAGCGAGTCGGCGTCGGTGATCATCCTCATGTTCAGAACGATACTGAGCGATCTTGGAGTCAATTTCCTGCTGCAGCTTCTGGTGGTTGCTCTGACGCTTCTCAATTTTGGTGTCAGATTCCATGTAAGTCTTGAGGTTCTTCTTGACGTCCTCAAGGGCAGCGATCTTGTCAGACCGGGGCCAAGATTTGATGTCTTTGAGGCTGACATCAAGGAAGTCTGCCCATTTGTTGACATTGATGGAGGAGACATCGGACGTAGAGAGGATCTCGTTGATGTCGGTTTCTGAGATACCAAGCTTGGTGGCTAAGTCCTTGACGGTAAGCAGAGCAGAGGCAGTTGCGGTGGCAAAAGCCCAGAACATGATCTTGATAACAAGCATTTTGATAATTGTGTTAAGTGAAAGTTCTTAAGGTAAGATGAGAAGGGATGATGGTGATGACGATAGAAGCAGGTCAGTTTGTGGATAGATAGTCCCTTCTTATACTTCTCTTTGTTTGACTCACAAGTGTCTGTCAGTTCCATCAACCCTATACCTCATCGACTTGCGCGTTTCGTCAAGACCTGCCCAGTTCTCCTGAACTTCTCGTGATAACTAGTCCCCACGTTTGAGTCGTCTCGTCGTACAGCTTGCTGGTCACCTTTCGGCATTTCTGGACAACTTCTCGTTGTCTTTCGGCATTCATAAGCCCCATTAAGTTGACTTGGATAGGAGGTGTTACGATTCCAATAGCATGGAAGTAAAAATGAGACGATGATCGTCTCCAAGGCTGAGTTTATCTTGAGACGTATGTCTCGATTAGGAAGGCAAAACCACTTCGTGGTCCACAGAATTCCTTCTATCAAACTTTCTCGAAGAAAGCATCCAGCGGCAAAGCATTCGGCAGTTGCATGAAAGCAACTATCGGGACGGATAGAAGCTATCACGGTCTTACAGTTTGAACTTAAGGTTAAGAGCATGACGTACCATTCCTCTGAAAATGGAAGGAGCAAATTAACCTTCGTAGCCTCGCAGGGATCAACCCAGGAATAGGGATGATTGTTTCAAAGTCAAAGCACAAGTCAAGCTAGTCCAAGAGCCGATCTTAGCCGGGTAGCAAAATATACCGCATGTATATACCACTACTGCTATGAGGATTAAACTTCGAGTAGTACGAGATATTCCTAGAAACAAGTTTAACTAGCTAAACTGATTCTCCACGAATGGCGACAAGGGAGATCAAGCAAGATATGCCAATGCCGGTGTTTCATTTAGTGAACTCTAATCTTAAGTAAGGTTATTCATTGTGAAGGCACTCTAAGAAGAGTTATGAGAACAAATACGAGCAGCCTACTAAACTACGGCAAACACTGCCGGCTAGTCTGAGGTTGCCATGGCTTAATATCATAGATAGGACGTATTCATCTTATTTATTAAATCATAGGTAGTAGACCACTCTATTTAGAAGTGGAATTTTGATGCTTTCACTATTAGAAATTTAACATGTAAAGATGAATGCTTAAAGATCTTGCAGAATAAAAGAAGAAGTAAATCAGGAGAATATTGGAAATGAACTGTGCGTCATTGTGAGAACTAGGTTATAATCCTTCTATTTTGCCTATGAACAAGTCTGCCGGCTTTCACTGTAACTAGGATGTTGATAGGAATCCTGTTGTCCAAGCTCGTGAGGGTGTGAAGGTAAGAGATACGGCATCTTGGCATCAGTATCTGCTGATAGTCAAACTCACGGCCTCGTACGTGAAGTATCAGATGTCCGGTGATCTTCGGGATGATTACTCGGCATTTCGTTTATGGTAAGGGGGTCAGGAATAATATATAAACAGAGTATAGTACCAACCCTTCTTCTTAGGCCAAAACATACAAACCACTTCACAGTCTCACAGATCTCTGTACACTTGGAACACTCATTGAATCTCTCACTCCAACTCACTGTCAACAGACGTAAGATATCCAGAATCATATCTCATACCTGCAGCCTCTAATACTCGGAATAGTTTCATCATGCAAATCGTCACTTCAACCATCTTTGTCACCCTCCTCGGTGTTGCCACCGCTTTCCCCGGCCTTACTCCTCGCCAGAACTTAAAGAATGGAATTCTCATCTGCCCCAATGCTGAGGCAACCTTCGCCGACCCGAAAGTCAGCATGGGTGCCGTTTGCACCCGCACTTACAGCTGCCAATACGGCAGTGATGGTATCAAGAGCGGCAATATCTGGACCAACTCCTGCACTGGCTGCCCTCCAGACCAGAACGTGAACTCTTTCGGCAACTGCGTTTTTCAGTACGTTTGAGACTTTGTTATACGAGCCTAGAAAGGGCTTTGGGATGACTATATGGAGAAGCTACTAGTGGGAGGGGAGGATAAAATGTAATAAACAACAAAAAAATTAGAAAAATAAAGAAAAGATGTTGAAGTAGACCAGTGTTCTTGTCATGTTGGTGCAAGTAGGTAATTGCTTTAAACATAGCGTATGCCTGCTAACTAACAGGTTTCCCTTAGCCCAAGCTGCACTCTACGTCTGCCTCCACCACCATATCAATAGGGACCCCGGACATGCGATATGCATATAAGGTTTCTCAAAAGGTCAATTACCGCTGCACCCCTGAACCTTGGTTCCATGGCAGTTAGCTAGACGATGACTGCAGATTAGCAATTAACGTTGCAGTCGGGTTGCGTACTAAAATAAGGTAGATGATAAGAAACCTTAAAGCAATTGGTGACGTTTCATCTGTCGATCCCTGTTCCGAACTTAACACGAGATACCCGATTGAGCGAAATGAAGCGATTTTAACTCCTATCTAAACTTAAGCATATCTGTCTAATGATGAGGGGAACAAATCGAAATGCAATACATCTTATTAAGTCAGTTTCGATATGGAATAGCAAAAAGTAAATCTTGGAATTCACTACCCGTACTGGAGAGCAAAAGAATGATCACGCTGGGGATCGAACCCAGAATCTTCTGATTCGTAGTCAGACGCCTTGCCATTGGGCCACGCGACCGATTTATGAATGTCCAGCTCTGATATCAGCCTATACGTCCCAAGGTGACAGTTACTCTGGCTTCCTCGCAGGGAAAGTACTGTGCCAAACAACAGCTCGCTACAAAGAACTATATTTAAATAGAGCAAGCAAAGATATATACATGTCCTTTGTTTAAGGGTGTGTTTCTGTGGATCTTGTTGAACTTGAAGTGTAAACACTTTGTCTAGGTTTATGTCTTGACTTCAAACAGATGAAATTCATACTCAAAGTGATACTCCCGCTTAGAGAATAGGAGCCACTTGAGCTCATAATTTGAAGTGAGTTTACAGTCTAAGTCGTACATTTGCAGATCCATAGTACGTCCGTAAGACGCTGAAAGTATTGGTAGAACACCAATTTAATGTACGGCAAACTTACCCTAGGTCAACTGTGGACATACAGACGGACGTGAAATTTTGGATCCACTACGTCATAGCAATTCAGAGATTGATTCAAAAGTTCGATTGGCCAAGTCAGACTATACAACAATAAAGGCACTACAGCATTAACTAGGTAGTAAACTTTGATCATATGTGAGCGAGATAAATTTACACGCGGCGTGGCCACTCAGGATCACGCGCCAATGCCATCTGTGCGAGATGAATTGCCTGATCCTCAGGATCCTCAAAGCTCATGATGCTCGCTGTACCATTGGGTTTAAAGTAAGGACCATCAACCTCACATTGCGTATCATTAGCAGGCATAGTTCCATTGTAGAGGAAGGCCCTGACGTGCTTGGCGAGACAGAGCGATGGAACTGCGACAGAGCAATGGCCGTATCCCTTGACCTCGACGATCTTTGAGTCCTTGAATGCAGCTTCAGCCGATCTAGCGGAGATAAGCGGGCAGACCGGATCATAAGTTGTGGTGAGAATGAGCAGAGGGTGTGCTGTCTCGACACCGTTGCGTGGTACGTAGTTATGCGTCTTGGGGATACGCCATTGCTGCTTGGCGAAGAGGTAAACCAGATCATCGGGAGCGAAAACGCTGCGGTTAAAGGTTGGCATAACAATATCCAACAGGGAGTCAAGGTCCTGTGGCCAGTGAAGGGGTCCCGCGAGACCATCGTTCATCGAAACCGTGTAGAGCGCATCACTGTTTTCACCATCATCCAAACCATAAGCCATTAGAGCCTCAGTCGCGTTCCCGTTCATGAGCTTCTCCATACGCTCGGCAAACGTGCCCCAGAACTGAGGCTTGTATAGAACCGGGAACAGTGCACCATACCAGATCTTCTGGTAGTCGAGAAGACCGTAGACGCTGTTGTTGACGTACACGTTCATCGGCTGTTCCTTCAGTTCACCAACGAAGGAGAGGAACTTGTCCTTGAGGCCTTCCCAGGAATCTGCCATAGATGAGAGGGGGCATGCGTCACCGGACTTGATGCACTCCTTGAGGAGACCATCCATGACATTCTCTGTGTCATTGAGGTCCTCCATATCGAAGCGAGCTTGGTACCAGAGGAATTGGTTCACGACTCCATCGATGATGACCCTGTGAGACCTCTCGGGAAACAAAGTCGCGTAAGTTTGGCCGAGAAGAGTTCCGTAGCTGAACCCCCAGTAATACATATCCTTCTGACCAAGAGCATCGAGAATGCTGTTCATATCGGCAGCTGTTTGGGGAGTATTGATGTACTTCCCATGCTCGCCCATAGTATCCTCACAGGCTCTCACATAATTGTGTGTCCAGGCATAAATCTCAGCGCCATCCTTGACGATATCGATATCGTGCACTGACCCAAGTTGCTGACGCGCCTCTTTGCTGGGGTAGCATGACGCGCGTGGGGACGAGGAGTTAATGCCGCGAGGGTCAAACGAGACAAGGTGAAAGCCGTCGCCGACAATGGTACTCAATTGCTCTCCACGTCTGTGGAGAAACTCGAAGCCACTGCCGCCGGGACCACCGGGGTTGAGCAGAATATTCTTGCTCCCATCTTTGCCCCGCATGCGAATAATGGGGACATTGAAGGTTTTGTTGCTAGCATCAGGATGAAACTGATCGATCGGCACGTCAATCTTGCTGCACTCTACAGAGCGATTGCTGATCTCTCCGCAAGGCTTCCATTCGATGTGCTCGCCTGGGTAAGTCGTGCGGTCATGATGGTGATGATGCTGTTGGCGATGAGGGCAGCTAGGCGCGAGCCAATGGAATGCCGCGACGGTGAGAATACCAGCGCCGAAGAGCTTCCATTTGTTAACGCGTGACTTTCGGCGCGGCTCGGCCCATTCAGGCGGGTTGAGTGAGTGCTTATCCATTATGATATTGTTTGTTTGTTGATGATGACTCGATGAAGAGGAGACGATCGTTAAAATGAAACGAGCAGGCTAACGCGTTGCCACGGTGAGCATCCTTGCATTCGTCATCACAACGCGTTGACATCAGCATTCGATTTAGGAAGGTAATTAACCAGAGTTGTCAGTTTTCATAATCCAAATTGAAAATTTTGTCCGCGGACAAGATGAAATCGATCTATTTTCCATGGACATGTTTTTAGTGATCTCAGGTAATCCTTAAGTCCATCTTCTTGGTGGAGTACTCCTATTGCAGCTACGGACCGCCATGCTACATATTCAAGGATTCAGCCTCTTCAGATCCATCCTCCTGACTCAAGTTATATCACTGCTTGAGTCATTTGCATACATATAATCCACCCGGAAAATATTCTATTTCCCGACCACTCTCTCGGTTATACGGCAAGGCAGGGAGACGTCGTGAAAGCATCACCATCATATTTCGTATACGTAATGGAAACCGAAAAAGGGTCACCATATCCGCATCTGTTACTTATGCGAAAACCACACCGCATCGAGCGCCTAACATCAGCATCCTATAGGAGGAATCAGAGCACTGGATAAGCTTTCGGCAGCTAATTTATGGGCATGCGCGTGATTTTCGACCGTTTCAGAGATCGTAAGTCGTCCCATTCTGGAACCTTTCGACGAAGATCACTGGGGCCGAGGCACCTCCACTACATACCCGTGTATGCGGGTGTACCGTTTCGATGATCTTGTTCCCGCTTAGGAAGATTAATGGCGAGGAAACCTATACGGGCCGTACCGATCTATCCGGAAGCATGTTGAGTGGCAGTTCATGGAGTCGTTGACTATAAAAGGGCAGTCGGTTTCTGCAATGGCTGGTTGATACTTATCAGCAAGCAATAGCAAGACAATCGACAATCATGAGCACCTTTAAGACTCCGGCTTCTGGGCTTCAAGCGAGCGTCAAGAGGCATCCAGATCTGGCACTTTTCAAAATCCCAGAGCAGTTTCCTCAAGGCACAAAGTTCAAAGACGTTTCCTTTGCTCAGTTCGAGCGGGACGTTAAACAGACGGCAAAATATTGGAAGGACAAGCTTTCTAACCTAGGCGTTCAAGATAGGGCTGTTGTCGGTGTCTGGTGAGTTGGTGAGATCATGATACTACATCATCAGCTGATTCCCCATCTAGGTTGAGGGGTTATGCCTACTCAGATACCGTCCATATCCAGGGTCTCAACTGGGCAGGATACATCCCTCAGCTGTTGTCTCTGCGCATGACAGATCCAACTGTTATCTATGAGCTCCTGCAGAAGTCCAGTGCCGTGGCCTTACTGCATGAGCCAGACAACACTTCTCTCTTAAAGGATAGCCCGGTGCCAACATTCCCAGCCAGCGCCAACCACTTAAACACGGATACAGCGCAACTTCCAGTGACCCCCTGGTATCCCAGCAATGACGACGATGTGCTCTTCATTTATCACACGTCTGGCTCAATTTCAGGAATACCAAAACTAGTACCTCTTACTGCGCGATGGGTCAACTACACCCTAGATCTGTCAACATTCTTCGAGCAGCGGTCAAACAAGAAGAGGGAGAGGATGGTTAGTGTTCACATGTAAGTCTAAAGTGAGTGTCACTAAGTGGTAGCGTACTGATGAATTGATAGGGGAAGCTTCTGCCACCTTGCCGGATCTGCCCTCAGCTGGATTGCTGCCAAAGAAGGTTCATGCATAATCATCCCAAGCACTCTCCCTGCTCCGGTCCCCGAAGTGCGTACCATGCTTGACGAGCATGGCTTGACATGTGTATGCATGTTCCCGCCTGCTCTATCTGCCCTGTTCAGTGAAGCACGCAAGGATCCATCTCTCCTGGCGTCTCTGAAGAAGGTTGACAATGCAGGCTCTGGCGGCTTGAGCCTCGATGTCGCAGATCTGGAGTGGGCGCGCAAGAATGGAATCTCAATGTTTAATGTCTTTGGTTCCACAGAAATGGGCTTTGCTTTAATGACAGATGCTAGGAAGAACGACGATTACCTTGAGTGCCACCCTACTGCCAAGAACGAGTTTATCCCCATCGGAGATCCGCTGGCGTCGGGCGAGCAGCTACTTGAGCTAGTCGTGCCCCCAGAGGCGGCCAACTGCCCAGTCCCCAGCTTTAGATCTGCCGATGGCAAGTTTCATTCAGGCGACTTGTTCGTTGAGGTCAAGCCTGGCAAATATCTTTTCAGGGGACGTAACGACAACTGGATCAAGATGGAGGCCTCCCTGCGATGCGATACCATGTCTATAGAGGCTAATGTCATGGAGACCTGTGGCGAGGATCTTGTCAGCGCCGTGGTTGCCGTCGGTGTCGGGCGCCCTTGTCCTACTATAATTGTTGAGCCAAAGGAAGAGTGTCTACGAAGCGCCAACGGTACTGATGATGGGGATTCGACGCAGCAGTTGAAAGAAAATATTCTGAAGCGGATCACTCCATTTCATAAGCGAAGGTATACACATGAGCGAGTCGACGATACGCGATACATAGTTGTTGTATCGCAGGGGACGCTTCCTAGAACAGCTACAAAGGGAAATGTGCGAAGGCAGGAGGTTGAGAAGGGATTCCAGACGGTCCTGGATGCCGTGTATGTGAAGTAGTTTTGATAGTGATAGGTACAGAAGTATCAACAAGACTGAAGTCTCTGCTTACTTGGGGGATGATGTCAGATTGTAAAAGCCAAACAAGGTGATCAAGCTATTTCAGAAGAGTCCCAAGTATCATGCAGCCAAGCCTTATATCCGAATTTTTGAAAGCGATTAGTTGTCGGACCAGGGTTGATCACAAAAGCCACAAAGGCGGCCGATGCTATAGTCACCAGTGGATTTGTTCTTTGCGGCGGTGAGCCGGTAGCTAAACCGGTTTTAACCTTTTTTTAAGAGGCTGCCTAAGCGCCTTAGCCGTCGTATTGCGTATGCATTCTTCTCTACCGATTCAAGGCAGATGATTTATCTCCGTATGCTTACGTCGCCATCGTGCAAAAAGCTGAGCGCCATCATAGCCGGACGACCGGGTACCAAGCTTGCCTCGTATTTCTGCTAGTGCCATTGGGTGCTGAGGTTCTAGACTGCTAAGACCCTGGTATATATGGTCAGATTCTATGTACCGCGTACACCTGCATTGAGAATTACGAAAATAACTCGAAATCGAGAGTTCTTAGTGGCAGAGAGCAGGCAGCAGAATTTACTCCCACGAAAAAGGCGGAGAACAAATTGAATTTTATGACAAGCATTGTGTCTCGCTATTCGCTCTTTATGTCTCGCGAATCGCGGCTTATGATGAAGGCCATCTAGCTCGCCAGCAAACTTGCATGGGTACAGTCAGCTAACTTGGCATGATCCCCCAAATCGGAAGCAGCCGGTGGCGAGGCACAATTCGAAATGCAGAAACCACAATGATGGAGTCTTGTAAGTGGTTCTTAGAATTGTGAGTTCTGGGTGTAAGGTTGGAGCAAGATGACTACTAACCGATTCGGGCGAAATAAACGCTTCTCTGTCCTCATTTTAATGTTAAGGTTGCTGACTTGGCCCGTCAGATCGTCATTGCAGGTGCTTCATTGGGGTCAGTTTGGAATTATTGGGCTCATTCTGGCTGCCGACTCCGCCACACAGATGGACCACTTCTTGACTGGACTGCGATTCTACTTATGTTTCTGCTGCAGCTCATAATCATACACATTCAATCTTGTTAGTTGACCCGATCCTAAACAAATTTCGGACCAATTCTATAATACTTTCAACTCGGTTTACGTAACATACAACAAAATGATGCCGGAGTCAAAAAGCCCGAATTATCTTGGTCCAATGGGCACTGATGCAGGCAAGGTAAATTTGCATACGCTTACATCAAAGTCCCCGAGACTAACACTCTCAGAGCCGGCGCGAACGAAATAGAGAGGCACAGCAACAATTTCGGAAACGGAGACAAGCCGCTGAAGCGGCGAGGGTGCAAAGGCTTAAGCGACTCGAAGGCGTGGTTGAGAGAATGAGTACGGTGATTGTAGACTTTGCCGATAAGATGTTGCACGAGGAGATATTGAAACAATATCCTGCATTGGCGGCCGACGTACAGAATGTCATTACGCAGGTCCTTGGTCTGGCAAATGAGGCTGGGGACCCCGAAGAGACAAAGTCGAGTGAACGGCATGCACAGAAATCGCCCGATTATGGGGACGACGAATCGCATACGGGAAGATCTTCACAAGATTCAGCAAGCCCAGCAGGGTCACACAATTTACTCATCGACATGCCATTTTCCTTCGCCCAACGGGACACAAAACGCTCCCCAACAGAGCACAACCAATTGAGAGACACCCCCCAGATCGTATATTCAACAATACAAAACCCGTTACTTTACTCTCATTCACCGTGTTTACCACCGGTATCCATGGCAAACTCGCTGGGCTCTGGAATATGGAACACACCAACGTCACTTTCCTCAATATCTATTTCCTCTGCCCTAATACAACCGCGATTTAATATAGGTCCAAGACTTTCTGAACAAGCAGCCCTGGCTCATACGTTCCTCGGTCAGACAAACCTGGACTATCCTGATCTCTACCACGATTCAATGAGGAAATCTTTATGACACATAGACTGCGAATCGTGATGGATTCGAACCGCCAAACATTTTGCGTTGAAGCTTGTTATGCTGGTGGCTTCGATGACGGGAAAGCAGCTTGCGATGCAGAGATAAAAAATGACGATGAACACGAATCGAGTGGCCTTGATTCCTAGGCGTACTGCCTTTGAGAGAGTTCTCGTTCTTAAGCACTCGAGTACCCTTACAACGCCTCATGAAGAAATGTCCTTCCGGAAAAGTCTAGCTTCCTTTCTATATCTAGCCATGGATTTTACCATCAGGAGCTAGAAGTTTGGAGACTTGCTGATGCGACACCTGATCCTTTGGAGAAATCAGCCCCAGCTCTCATAAGTCATATCTTAGAACTATTCGGAGAATCATCATCTGCGAGTCGAAGTATTCCCTAGATAGAAGCTTAGCCGCCATCTTCAAGTCATTGGGAAAGTCAAACCTCTTGTGTGCATGTAGCCAGTAAAGTCCCATCTTGTGCAAACATCCGTTGGACAACCAAGGCTCTTCCGTGAGCTGCCCAAGGACTTTCCATTTCTGAAACCATCCACTCATCTGCCTTGGTCCGTAGCGGCTCATGAAAGTAGATCCTATGGTCAAGACTCGCTGCCATAGCCATCCGCGGTCGCTTAGCCCATTCCTCAATGGTAGAACCCAAGCCCTCAATTTCATTGACCCTTTGAACTTGAGATCTCAGCTTGGGCGGAAATGATGGCACGTCTTCTAATGCGAATGGGAGTCGCTATATACGATGAAGGCGTGCTGCCGCGAGAATGAAGTAGCCGTCAGTCAAAAAGGCCAGGGCATGAAGATGAGCGCCAGGCCCACCAGTTTCAGGAATAACTCCAGGGAAGCGAAACCACTGGCGGAAAATGCGTCGGTTATGTGAGGAGTTGCTAGAAGCCGGTGCATCTATAACATCGATTCTGCGGCGCTGAAATGGCTCTATCAAGGTCCATTCTGGCTGTTCTTCACATACTTCGGTGGGGGGAGCAGGTATATCGAAAGGGGCAACTGTATGCTCGACAGTCAACGGGACTCCGCCAGTATCTCGAGTGAAGCTGACAGTAATAATGAAAACAATCTGGTCTTGCTGGCGACATTCAACCGTACGCGTGGCGAATGTAGAAACTTGTTGAACTCGTGTGACATGAAATGTTTGTCGGCAATCAACAGATCCAGGATGAAGAAAGGTGCACTGGCAAGAATGAATATGATAATCGCTTGTTAGAGTCTTTTGAGCAGCAGCGAGACTGAGCGCAATGACAGCGCCACCGTAGATGCCCCTTGCTGCGGGAGGCAGCCACTGCTCATAGACATTGGTAAAGACATCCTAGATCAGGTTCTTAGTCTTGGTTTGGAGGGGCATATAACTTCAACTAACATCGCCCATGTCCTTGCGTTCTGCAATTTCGAAAATATTGGATGCTGGGCCGGCCTTTTCGGGCGCAACTGACGTTGGATTGATCATGACTTGACAATTCAACTGATATGGAGGAGCCAGAAGTATTAACAGATAGTTGAAGTGGGATTTGGGATCTTGGCAATACAAGTACCGAGGTTCGGCAACAGTCTGAACTCCCCACTCAACTCGCATTTAGCTAGTACCAACTCAGATGCATCCCCTGTAAACCTGCTTTAACAAATGCATACGCCTACCAAGATGGAAATAAAAGAGTTGCTCTGCTAGCTGCAGATATATTCTTAAACATCAACACATACCAGATTTAGAAGAAGCTATTCACTAGCCATGAACTCAACCAACAGCAACAGAGCGCCCACGTCGCTATTACAACAAACCAGTAGGACGCTGAGCAATCGGTATCGTTCTACAAGAGCGTTACCACACCGATCCCTTCTATCACGTCGAAAACACTACAGTACATAGATAAGAGTGAACAAAGTTCAATATGAATGCTATTGTTTATGCCACGCATGTGAGATCGGGGAGAGGATTGAGTGCAACCGCAAGTGGGCTAAGGATCTTGATATCAGTGTTATTAAAGTCAGGTTTGGGTTGGTTTTCTTCTTCTTCTTCTTCTTTATCTAGTGAGGGACAGTGCAGATATAGAGCCGTGGGGTTCACATGGACCTATCTCGCTAGCTGTGATGACTAGCTATGCTTTAATCTCTCAAAGGCACTCTTTAGTTCGCTAGCGCTTTCTCTTGAAGCTCGCTCAAAGGCCTCTATAGGAAGGAAAAACAATGTCAATTGATTAGATTTGCGCGAAACAGATACTTGGTTTGTATACTGACCATCGGGTGTTCCGTCAAGCGTGATTGCGTGCCAGTTGCCAGAGAGCCAGAGTGTCGCAGAACTAATCTTGCTCTCCGGTTGACCCAAGTTTTGACGTATGTCGATACGAGGAAACGACAAAGATTCTAACATATTATTAGCATCAGGAATAGTTATACTAGAAGTACTCACTATAAGCAAAGTGTTTAGAATCGTGGTTGAATTGGGGGGGAAGCGTCTCAGAATGGTTGAAAGCGCCTGACCCAAGTTGGTGGACAATTGCGGATCTAATAGCTTTACCAACTTCAGGCTCAACGTAAACAAAATTCTCGCCAGGTTCGCCGATCATGATCCCAGTATCGCAGGAGATAGGCATGCCCCTTCGATCAATGGTGGTGAACCTTGCAACCGCGCTGTGATAGGAGCGTGACCAAGACTGTAGAGTAGCCTTGCCCCTTGGCCGTAGTGGTTGGAAGCAGCAAGAGGCCATTGTGTTAAGCGCAGGATAGAGGGTGCTAATTAAGTCGCGGTAGGTAAGTCAGTATTTGTGGAAATAAAGCAATCAGCGACCGCTAATTGTCCGCTGCTCAGAACAGTTTTGGTTTTTAATGGCTTGCTATAAAGGGAATTAATAATGCTTAATATAATTAAAGGGGTTCTCTACTATAAATAGAATTTATAATATATATCTAAATATAAAAGCTATTAAGGATACTTTTTATTAATAATAAAATATAAGAATTATAACTGATTTATTTTAAAAAATATTTAAAATTAAAATAATAAAATAAAATTTATTACTTTAAACGACTTTTAACTATATGATCTATTACCTTTTTAAGCTATATCTAAGTAGGCAAATCCAGGTATTTAGTTATTCTAGAAAATGTCACTACTTAACATTGCCCTGTTAAACTTCGTTTCCTCTGGCGAGGGACTTTGCCAAAAGACTCTCATCTGCTTCAGTTCGTAGGCCCTTCTGAGCAGCTATCTTAGAGGACTCAACGCCAGAAGAAATGGCCGCGGCAATCTCAGGAGAAACAGAAGGTAGAGTCTGCTTCTTCTCGTTGGTCTCAGACACCCTAGTCTCCATGCTCCTTATGGTCTTCGATTGTCCCTGTAGGAATGTCAGCTTTGTGGAAGGGGCCAGGAATTTCATGTTGGTCCTTACATCTTTCGCTTTCCTCGAAGTTTCATCAATGGCCCTCTGGGAAAATTCCTGCGTCTCATTTGCCTTCCTGCTGATCATTCTCGAGTCCATCCCCATGCCAGCGAAAGACAAGAGCTCATCCAACATGCGCAGCATAGGGAAGACACTCATTTGCGACAGACGGGCCCACATTGAAGTAGAATCTGCAAAGATCGAGAAGTACGATCTGATGATCGTGGTGCTGTTGACGATGCACTAAAGGAATAGTCAGAACAGTTCATTACCTATCAAGTTTGACTCACACTTCGTTGAAAGTCCAGCATAGAATACGGCCCAACACTGTCTCCATCGTTGCCGGCCTTGATGGCCTCAACATATGGGTTGACATATTTCTCCGTGACAAATCTAATGGCTACCGGGATGGCATTGAAGAATTGCACGAGATTCACAATCTCTGTCTTGATCTCCAACATCGTCGCAATCGCCTGGATCAGGATTCCCTTGATCGCGTTCTAGGATAGTCTGTTAGCCAACAGCTCACACACTGGTATCACATAGTCAAATTAATACCATTTCCAGGCTCGAGTTCTTGAAACGTTCCAGCTTGGCGTTGACCTGGTTAAGTCTTCCTTGCTGCTCAGCAAGAATCCCAGTGGAGTCTTGGTAGGTCTCTCGTGTAGCAGCCAGTGCTTCAGACGCTGTTTGTAGCCTTGTCTTGGCCGATTCGAGGACTGCTTGAGCTTGGGCGGTCTTTGCTTGAACCTGTGCTGCTTCGGTAGCCGAGGTACCGCGTTGACTGGGCACGGCGCTCTATTTAATTGTCAGCGATTGCCAGTCGAAAGTCCGTCAAAGAAGCGTACCCCGTTCGCAATCGATCCCAGGAAAGACTTGGCCGTAGCGTTCATTGTGATCACGGTCGCGTAGTTACTCAGAAAGTCTCTCTGCCAAGATTTGACCGTCTCAGAGTCTTTACTGGGTGCTGTATATCCAATAGACTTACCAGCTCGTTCTAATTCGGCCACAATCCCATTTCCAATCTAAAACGAATCAGTCAGATGTTCTAAGTATTGAGAGTGAACTTACCCTGCAAGCCGAATCCAATGCTGATCTGTACTGTTGGCTAGGTCCCGAACTAGAGGCTAAAGAGCCGAAAGACTTCTGCGAATGGGCAAGCATCTTCGCGGCAAAGGTCGTGACCTGGCCAGCCTTGTCCCAAGCAATGCCATCGGTGGTACCAACAAATGCGGTGCTGAGCAGCTCCCAGTAGATCAGATCCCGGACGACCTGGCTATAAGCAGGATCATTCGAATCCTTGGGTTTACTTGCACTTGAGGTGGGCATGGCTTGGTTCAGAGCGGTGCTCAAGCTGTCTGTCAGCTTTTCGACAATCTGCCGGCCCAAGGCGTCCCAGCTAAACATATTAGTTGAAGTCATGCAAGGTTGGGCAGTTGCAGTACTTACTCTTTGGGGAATCCATCAGAAGCTCTTCTGAATGTCTCGGTCGCGGCTTCCGAGGACTTCTCCAATTGACTAGTAGAAATATTATGTTGATTGTCAATCGACGCCCGAGCGACCGCTAACTCAATGTCCTTCAAGACTTGTTGGTCTTCTGAAGTTGGTTCTGCTGTAACACAGGCCTGGTGGAGCTCAGAGGCATGGTTAATCCAGTCTCTAAACTTGCCGTCTATCTCCTTGGAGGAATTCAAACAGTCCGAAGATGCATGATCCCAAGTTTCCATCTCCCGTCTAAGCAGTCTTTTAGCACCTTCAGGGTCGGAGAGTGCTTCAAGGATATTCTCAAACTAGGAAAGTCAGGGAGATGAGTCTAGATTTCTCTTCACACTTACTGTCCCATTGAAAGTCCCAGAAAGCATAATAATTTTGCCTGTCTGCTTTTCGGTCTCTATGAAGGCAAATCGGCCTAGGTCGACACATTTCGAGAGGTTGGCCTGGAGCCTGAAACCGGCAAAATCACTGAGCCGAGTTAACTTTCGTCCTATACCATGTACTGTCAGAGTATTTCACATACCTCAGGTACTTGAACCCTTCTTTGGGTGGTGCAAAGGTGATGTTGGCCTTCTGAGAGCCAGTGGCGACAGCGCAAGCACCAAGGGCGTTCAACGCCACGGGAGCTGGCAGAATGATGTTTTCCCATCGATATTGGGAAGACAAAGATGCCTTTGACTCCCCAGACATACGACCGGCTGCATCAAAGTCCTCTCTCTTGGTCAAGACTTCGACTTATCGTTGGTTGAGAGCCATTTCGATACGAGATGTCTTTGTATAAAGATTTTGGTAGTCTTGAATGATTTGATAAATAGATAGAAGGTAAAGTGACAAGCTTGGGATTCGCAATGGGGTAGGATCTTGCCAAGTCTTTATACTTGCAACAGGATTTTTCGATTAAGATGGTTTGCGCTAATGGGCAACACCAGGTATCATGTACTTAAGTCTTTTCAATGTAAATCAGTACTTCTGGCCTGCGCACTCTAGCACATGCAGACGGCTCTCAGACTCTCCCCTTCGCCTGTCGCAGTTCTTTACCCCTCGCCTGTCCTAGATCCAGCTACGAACGATCGAAAGTTCCCTCATAATTCGTTCAATCACTAGACGTCTCAGCTTCCAAAAATCCCCCCGCTAAGATAGTATTTGCATAAGGCTGGCTGGAATCGCAATACCGAGCAATCGTTGGCCGACGTGGCTCGCTGATCTTCCGAAAAAGGATATTTGCTTCAATTAGGCGCTCTGGGCCTGCAATTAGAGCCTTTAGCATTCGCGTGAGGAGCTGGAGAGCCTACGTTAATCCATATCTGTGTGTCCAGCTAACCTTGGCGGGGATGCTAGTTCGTGCTATCAATCAATAGCCTTGCGCCCAGCTCCACATTGAGTTAACTTGTCTCAGAGCTGCAAAATGGCGAGCTATCGTCTCGTCAGCTGATTGATTCACTTTCGGATATTCAGCCGCTGTGCGAAGCTATACCATGCCGCATTTGAAGTGTGCGTAACGCGTCGATATCTGCTTTGGCTGGCTGATATGTGGAACTATTAGCCAATATATTGAGAAGCGGATCCTAAGCCAGTTCTCGAATTTGGAAGTCAATATGTCGGTCGATACGAGCCTGGAATCCTGATTACCGACGCTGGTAGGATGGGGTGCTGGGCATCGGATGCGGAATTGGCAAATACCTTCATTGTTCATAGTATGCTCGGCCTCTTCACTCACGCATGCGGTCTTAGTTCAGCAAAGTCGGTAGCCTCAACAAGATTGCAAGGACAAGCATAAAACTAGAACTAATCCCCAACCTATTTACGAATTTACTCTTAAACTCATCCCTCTCACGCTAATCATTGTTTACCCATCTATCTCAATTCTCTATTCATCATGTCTTTTGCGTCACCTTGGGAATCTATGCTGGCTCAGGCTGGCCTTGGTGGTCTCCAGTTTGCTCAAGCAATACCCGCTATGCAAGCAAACGCCCTCTTCGCGGCTTCTGGAGGGCCCTTTTAAGATCTGATTCGGAGGCTTGAGGTCTTCAAGCAGAAGGTCGCTACGCAAGATGCCTTTCTCCGATCTGGTGTCAAGGAGAATCTATCCATGTCCATCAATCACCTTGAGGTAGCACTACTTCAGCTGTACAAGCTTGCCGTCTTCATCCGTGGGGAGCCTGATGTCGATGACATGCAAAAGATGATGATCCTTGAGCAGTGCTTCCCAGCCTTTTCAGACTGTCAGGCTGCCTCTCAGGCTGGTTTCGATCAGGTCAATAGCATCTATACACAGGTGAGCAAGCAAAATTAGCACCGAATTCGCAATACTGATTATTTCAGGCCGCGTCTTTGCATGCGGAAGAATTCCTGCAGCTGCAGCGGGAAATCGAGCGTGCGTTAGATCAAACTAAGATGGACTGGGAGAACGGCCGGTGTCAGTTGGAGCAATATCAATATGATGTTGAACGATGTTCCCGCCAGCTGGAGGATGCTTCTAATGCTCTCCGTCAAGCACACGACAACGTGCCTGACATCGGCAACGACATTGGGAAGGCGTTCTTTGTAAGAACGATTAATCTGCCAAGCGAACCAACACTAATACATATTACAGTTCTTGGGGCCGGCTTGGGGTGAGATGGAGAATAATCATCGGAGAGTTGAAGAAGCCAGAAATAGAGTGAATGCTGCGCAAGATCAACTTCAGAATTCCCACCAGGCTCTCATGCAGGTTGTAAACCAACAAAACGAACTCAACACTAGGCGTGCCGCCATTGAACAAGTGGCTCAACAGCTTCCTGTCCTCCAGGCAACAGCTGATGCGCTTAACAAGCAGTCCGCTGCACTCTTGGCTGGATTCACTGAGCTCAGGGAGAAGACAACACAGCTAGCACTCGTCATGAACGACATGAGGAATGGGGCCAGAGACACGGGTGCCCAATCGTGGGATAAGGATAGGTTTGCTGAGGGCATTCTCAGACTTTGCCAGATGGCACTTATCGACGGTCGTGTTTGTGACGAAGTCGAGACCATCACCAATGAGATTTCCAGTGGGTAATCTGGCCAGGGACCGGGCAATGTTGCCGACCTCCTGACTAAGGTTGGGCAGCTTGCTAGGGATGTAGCTCAGAAGAGTATTTCTGGGTAGCGGATGATTGAGAAGATGTATAGTCATGGTGTTGTTACTTAGCCTTTACCTAAATATAAGGATAATATCCATCTATAGCAGCTATATGAGTTCAGTTCATTATCCATAGAGCGGCCTGTTTTACAAGCGCTTTCAAAACCATAAGCTTAACTGGGAAGCAATATGAAGGGGCCAAGGGCCAATCTCAAGATATGCATAGACCCTTGGATATAATCCTGTTTGCTAGCAGCCTTAAGCACATACGACCATACCTACAGGAAAATACGGGATCCCGTCTGCTCTCCCATAGTCAAGCCTGTAAGGGGCGGATTAGTAGTTGGGTCGGTGACGACCAGCGAATCCCCGCTGTTGTATGTTTTTGTATTTTTGATGAATCTCCCTTGAAATGTTTGTTTTATCTTGCTTTAGCCGCTTGTTGTGGCATGTACATGGTCCTTGGTTGGTTAGCCTGGCTAGCAGATTAAGCTATGGACAGAGACTTATCCTGGCAGATTGAAATACTTCAGACTGCTACTTTAACTACTATATTTAAAAGTTATTGAAATAATTTTGTATTGTGAAAGTATGAAAGAGAAGCAATATACTGTTTCTCTCCTTATGCATCTTTAAGACCTGGGGTTGGCCTGAATAATGACCTTGCTTAATCTGGCATTAATACACGTAATGTTCGTCACGCTTTGACTCTGCGTGATCTGATAAGTTATCTTTGTATTTTCAGGCTCGACCAACAACGGCAATGTACCTTACGCTATGAAACTAACACCTTGTTCCCAGTTTTCAGCACGTCATTCCAACCTCGTGTGGTCTTCCAACCATGAACAAAGTCATATGTGATATTAGAGCATCGATCACCGCAACTACCAACCTGCCATTCATCTTTGATACCATTTGCGCGTCCAGGATGTTGTAGCTGTTGGTAGCAAAGATACCTATCCAGGCAGTTGATAAGTACCGACGGGGCCGAGATAACCGTGCCGTAGGATCCGAGTTCACAACCAACACGAACAAAATCAGCTCAGATATGCAACTAACCAGTCGCTGCCTAAAGTAACATGTGCGCCTGAATAATTCTGAATAAGTTCAAATATTCACGTTTCAATAGTTTTTTCGACAAAACAACACAGAAATCGTGTGCAATCATCCTTGAATCCGCTGAGCAACTCAACTCTGCATCCAGAATGGTCCCTGCCTTCGTCAAAGCCATTTTACTCCTAGCTCTCGGCAGCAGCTTTGCCTCTGCCGACACCTTTAATTACGGCGACAGGGACGGCAACCTATTCCTCGACCTTTCGATATCGGAAGCCGAAAGCAATCGCCGAGAATGGGGACTTGTCGAGCCTTGGACCACTGACTACATTTCAGCCCTTCAAGAGAATAGATACGGCGACGCTATATGGGCACGATATCAGATGTTTGGCGATACTTCGAATGGCACCTTTCTAGAGTACCCGCAATGGACGGTCCGCGAAGCGATTGAGGAGGACGCTATTGGATACAGACTTCATGCACGAGATAATTGGAAGTATGCCATGACTGTCTACGCCAATTCAAGCAAGGACACGCAAAGTGATATCCTTGACCTTATGTTCGACGTCAACCGCAGGAGCTACTATCGACTCTGTAAGTTGGGTAATCTCTCAATATACAGTGTTCTAACTCACAGGATTTATAGTTAGAGACCAGTATCGATTGCATAAGCGTTTCCAACAAAGCGAACACGTCCTTCCGAATTGCGACTGCTGGAAGATTGCCCAGGATGAAGTTGACTCTGTTTTAGAGCTCAAGTAGTTGCCTTTGGGTACAGCTTTGCATCGAGATGCCAAGTATCATAAAAGGACATGGAAATTAGGCCTTCGACTCTAGTGCTCAGAATTTGCTCTTCTACCATGCTCCGATTGTGACGGGGCTTTATGTCTGCACCCCCAGATCAGTCTGACAGCGTGTTCAAGCAGCTAGACAGTTGTAAACATTGACAGAATTCACGCGGGCTTCTAACTTTGCTCTTGTCTTCTTCATCCAATAATTCGCGATGCGTTGGCGTGGTCGATGTTTTGCTATATCTCAAGACTAGACTAGAAATCAGTGTTTTCGAGTCTAAGCCATCGGGTATAACATGACTGAAGAAATGCTTCGGATAGCCTTGAGTAGAGCAGATAAAGTGTCTATGGCCTGTTTTAGAACCACGATATATCTGGTCACACTTGAGCTCATCCGTCTATGCATCGGCGCATATGGCTACCTCTTCAGGCAAGGTTCCAGAACTGCAATATTTTGTCGTCTGATACCAACCCGTTGGTCACACCATGCAACACAGGGATTGTAGTTATCCGGGTAACTTATCAGAAACGACCCAGGCAGTCATTCAGCAAATCTCATTCGCTAAATCTGTTACCAATCCATGGTGTCAATTGGGCATTTCAGATCTTACGATACGATGAGAGTCCACATTCAACCCACCAAGTCCACCGCTCTATAGATTGTATCTTAGATTCGTTTTTTTATAGGGAAGCTAATACACTGTTGCACACATGTCTAAAATCAATGACGCCCTCTTTTTCTCCACTAAAATGTTGGGTCCTCTTCCTTGATAGGCTTCAAATCACCCTGACCCTTGAACACCTCTAGAATCTTAGCCTGCTCCGTCAAAATAAATCTATCAGTCTGCTTTCCAATATTCGCCAACTCTTTCCACCTGTTGAAGTCCGTTGGATTTCTCTTATCGCCATGGGCTTCAATGGGATGTTCCCAATGGCCCTTTGAGAAACCCAACATGCCGCTGATTGTCTTGTTGGTGATGTCGTAAACAAGAGAAACAATCGTTCCAGTCTCTTCGAGCCAGTTAATTTGCCATAGCTCCCCTGGTCGAATGCATTGGTATGCTACGGTTTGATAATTGATGCGGCCAGCCATTGGGCCACCGTGAATGGCGTAGACGGCTCGGTCGTCGGAGAAGAACCAGATTTCATAACGCCATTTCTCTGGGTTTCCTTCTGCGTCTGTGGCGTCGTAGTCGTAGATAAGATGAGTGTTGAGGATATCCTTCTCAAAAGTCGGATGAAGGGGAGTGTTTGTTTGATATCGTGGCAGAGACATGATGAATATTAAAGGCTGTTGATACGAATTTCAAGCACTTGAAGTACTTACAGAAGACAACATGGGACATTTCTTAACCGCTGCCAAGTATTTATACTCTGCAAGATCGACTCGCTTAAGTGGCTTGATCTCTTGGTACGACGGAATGCAATCGTAACATCATCCATCCTCTCGGGAAACGCGGACAGTAAGTTCCCACTAAAAGTGCCAAATGGATCAATAGGAAGCAAGGATCAGTTTGCTAACGTGTATATCCGAGAATCGATCTCAAGACTAGATCCATCACAAACTCAATTCTTATCGTATGATGTCACCACGGGACTAGCCAAAGCATCCACAAAGCCACCGCAGATACCGCCATCGACCTCGGTCTGATGATGTCGGCAGTGAGAGTCGGTAGCACAGAATAACATCATAGATTTAGCGGTGTGCACTCTCCTCGACGTCGCGTACAAGACGAAACGTTACCCATGGCCAGAGATATTTCTTCTGCCACCAGTTCAGGCTGCGAATATTAGCAGGTTCATAGCATGGCAGTATCGCGCAACTCACAAGCTCTTTCGGCCTGCAATACGAGGATGCAGGGCCCAGCTTCCCCCAACCACGGCCAGATGCTTCTCATCCATAAAGTCGGCTGGACTGTGTCAGAAAAGAATGACATAGAAACCTCTTGGAGAGGGATCGACAAAACTCACCACTATATCCGGGATAAATATCCATTGCCTTGAATCCCGGTTGCGGCGCGAATAAAGTTCTAGTCCACTCAGCCGCACCTCCAGTATCGCCCAGTCCGCAAAGATCACCCTTGTGAGTGGTGCCTATTGGATGGAAATTCTGAAACCCAGAATTGGTCTCCGACAAGTCAACAAGTATGGCCTTTGGATCGGTATGGAATTGATGGTTCACTTTGCTACCCGGGGCTTCACGACGACGCTCAACATACTCGTGGATACTCCGTAATTCGTGGAGCGTTGGTAAGCGAGCACCAGCCCATTGAGAATATCTCTCTACCTCGTCAAAAGAGGCCATAACAGGCCAATCAAGTGCCTGCGACAACGGTACAGGTCCCCAGACAGTCTTGATACTGTGACGAGCGACGAACGTGGTGTAATCTTCATCACTTCGGGCATCGCGCGTCTTACTCCAAGTTGCGGGGATCTGAAGCTCCTTAACGTCTACGAGGTACTTAGCATACTCGCCGTTACTGACCGGTCGACCTTGTGCCTCGATTTGTGGAACAATGATATCGTACGGCTGGCGCTCATTGTCCCACGCAAAGAATCTGTTTGGCCCTTCATCCCTCTCAGGATCATGGTACCCAATGGTGAAAGTCTGCTGGGGCACCTTGATCCATGGATTCTGAAGGCGTCGTGAAGCAGCTGCTTTTGCGAGCTTTGTGAAGTCTGGCCTGGGCAGATCAGGAGGTGGAAGGATATTGGCACTTTGAATAGTCATGAACAGGAACGTTTCAGCATGGAGACCTGTAACATATCAGCCACAAACCCTGTAGCCGGTGAAAACAGGCATACCCTCATGTTCGAAACCTATCCAGAGCGCTCGTCCAATACCGCGATCTGCGTAGGGCCTTTGAGTTTGATAAAGTGATGTGATTCGCTCTTTCACGCGCACTCGATATGCTAGAATGTCCCCAAGGCATGGGAAGACGTCTGGGAGTTTGCTGTGGTCATGGCATTTGGAAGGATCATCAACGTCAGGATCTATGCCGCGCTCAAAAATTTGATGATAGTATGCAGGTTCAGTAGGCTTGCTGTTCGTTGCTCGCGCAAGATGAATATCCTCACTAGATCCAGCATTAGCTAAGGTTTGAGATGAAATAGTAGGTGTCTGACAAGGTTGGAATATGGCCAAGATAGAACAGCAACGGGTTCCGCAGAGGAATTGGTTGTTCCATCAACGCATCCGGCAATATCATACTGGTCGTGACAAGATCCCAGACGCCCCACAGTTTTCTCCATTCACCCAGCGAAGGCACCGGGGCCGGAGCATACTGTTCTGGTTTCAGAGGGAAGGCGTATGGATTCTTAGATTCCATTGTGCTTCTGAATTCTGTGGCTACTGCAAATATTAGATGAACTAAGTAAGAGGTCCGACGATGCGTAGTGATAAGTTGAGCTCTCGGGCCCTCGGCCTGGCCTGGTAGTAGCAACGTCATCATCCACCAAGCTCCCCAGCAACCGCTCCGCCATGAAGCTAAGACACGGCTTGTTCCACCTTCCTATATCTGGATTGGCCTAGCGTTCTGGAGACTCAACCTATTTATCTTGAGCATGAGACTTCCGATAGGCCCTCTAGTAGTCAGTACCCATACTGATGTTGGTAAGTGACAGGGCTCAGTCTAGGGATCGTGGTGTCATTGGGTGGTCAAATGCGTGTTGTGTACAAGGCAAATGCGATTGAATGCTTCTCAGACGTCATTCGTCGAGCAGCTTGTCGATAACAAATTGCTGGGAAATTATTGTGAGATATCATGACTGCAACTGGATCTACTGGACGTTAGTGGCCGATCAATCGCCATTTTATCTCGATAAGACCTCCGATATCTTCAATGCTCAATACCGGATAAAACCCAACAACTCATCAAGTACTTTCTATCCCACGGGCCTTGAAGCAATATTGTCAATGCAAGGCCCAACAGGCGTTCCCTCGACATATCAGACGTCGACTACTAACAGGCTTCCATGCAAGACTCGGCGGATACCTGTGTCAACTGTTGAGCGTGGCCTTCATCTGCCTATTGGAAGGCGAATCAGTCAATATTGGAAATGACAGTTGTTCTAATGACTTTAAATTAGTCCATCATCCCAACCCCGAGTGATGGGGCATGTATATCAACCGTTTGTTTCGTGCTTATAACCCATAGCCAGCGCAGGTATCTCTTGGGGTTCGAATCGGCCTCCTAAAGTTGACACAAGTCGGCCCTTGCTTCAAAACCAGAGTAACGAAACTCTTCGATAAAATTCCTTGTAGAAAACGCGAGCCACGCTAAACATGGTTTTCATATAGTATGAGTGCCATATTCAAGCCCTTACACTGAGAGAAAGAGTCGCCCAAGGTCGCGACGCAGAAGAGCGACTTGATAGAGTTACCTTTAAGGAGCAGTAAGACTTGAGACTTAAAGATAGGATGCAATAAACATAATAAAGAGCCCCCTAAGCTCAGGCTAGACTTACCTAAGAGATTTTGTTACTTCGGATTAAGATCCTAACTTTTCTTGCCTCCCTTAGATTGCCTACCTTATTCATATTTCATTCTCAACGATCTCCGATGCGGCGAAACTAGACAGAGCAGGGAACGTATCGATTTGCGAAGAACGACGCGTTGTCGTATTCGGGCCAAGGTCTAGGCTCGGGTTGACATTCGGGCATATTACCCTCTGTAAACGGCCATCGTGACAAAGAGTCGGAACACGCAGGAAGAATTAATTTTGTTTCCGTATTCTTCCTTATATTCAATCACCAACTCGCGATGTCTAGTAGTACGGAGGAGGCGGAACAAGGCAAATTGCAGCCAGATGCGTAGATGACGTGGGTTGACTAAGAGTCGAATCATGTGGCTGCTTATAGCACTATGAATATATTCCTAGTGGGTGGGATGCTTTTTGATGACAGATCATGGAATCATATCATTTTGTCGTAGGTATTTAAAGGCTGCGTTTGCGCATCTCCGCGGGAATCAGCATCTCCAAGGAATGACAGGCTGCGTCCTCAGATCATGGAATTTTCTTGCGCAATTTTGCAAATAGAACATGAAGAGACAAAACAAGTTTGATTGAGAGCGAAATTTGGAATGGCATCTAAAGTAACTCATACTTCAGCAACTGGAGCAAAGAGGGTTTTGGTCAAGTTTCACTGCTAATACAGTCCAAAAAGTAGGAAGATGTCCAACGTCTTTGCGTGGCCGTGAACTCCCGAGCAGTACGACCATCAATGCATTGACAAGTAATAATGCCGATATTTGTAACACCCACTGTAAACCTGGCAATCCGACTCGTCCGCCGGATTGCTCATGCAGCGGAAATGCCATCGTCAAGCATAAGCTGAGACAGATCGGAACTTGATTGGAAATCAATTGCATCTCGTGATCTCATTGAATACGGATGAATATGGAATACTTCTATACCCATACTCCACACCTGATTTTCACTTCCAACAAATATAACCCTCCAGCATCTCTCATTCTTATTCCCATCGCCATGGCTACTACAAAGCTTCAATTCGCACTTCGCAACAAAAGAGCACTCTTCAGTTTACAGCGTTTTAACAGAACTTACACCATGGCAACTGACGCACCGAGCTTCCCTTTCTCGCGCGCCTCTGGCCCCGAGCCACCCGCCGAGTTTGCCAAACTTCGAGCTACGAATCCTGTATCTCAAGTCAAGCTATTTGATGGCTCTCTCGCCTGGCTCGTCACTAAGCACAAAGATGTCTGCTTTGTAGCTACTTCTGACAAGCTCTCCAAGGTATGATCTGATATGATCTGATGGACCCTGCTGGTCCTAACCTGATTCAAGGTCCGCACTCGCCAAGGCTTTCCTGAGCTTAGCGCCGGTGGAAAGCAAGCAGCCAAGGCAAAGCTGACATTTGTGGACATGGATCCCCCAGAGCACATGCATCAGAGGTAAGCACCTTATTATCCTTGCTTTCTGGGAGCAGACTGACACATATTGAAGGAGCATGGTAGAACCGACATTTACCCCAGAAGCTGTCAAGAATTTGCAACCTTACATCCAGAAGACGGTCGATGATCTACTGGAGCAGATGAAGCAGAAGGGATGTGCCAATGGTCCAGTTGATCTTGTGAAGGAGTTTGCACTCCCTGTTCCTTCTTATGTAAGTCACGGCAGACCATTCTTGAAAGGACATGCCTCATATCGATCTAGATTATCTATACACTTCTCGGCGTTCCTTTCAATGATCTCGAGTATCTTACGCATCAGAACGCCATTCGCACAAATGGTAGCTCCACTGCCCGAGAAGCGTCTGCCGCCAACCAGTAGGTCCAACTGAGAGTCATCTGAGCATTTTCAGGCCTGATAATCGATAGGGAACTCCTTGACTACCTTGCAACGCTTGTCGAGCAGCGTCTAGTAGAGCCAAAGGATGATATCATTAGCAAGCTCTGCACTGAGCAGGTCAAGCCTGGAACTATCGACAAGTCAGACGCTGTGCAGATTGCTTTCTTACTTCTCGTCGCCGGCAACGCAACGATGGTGAACATGATTACACTGGTATGTGGTTTTGTTCATGAGTCTATCGTACATTTACTGACAACTTCAGGGCGTCGCCACTCTGGCTCAGCACCCTGATCAGCTAGCGCAACTCAAGGCCAACCCATCCCTTGCGCCTCAGTTTGTCGAGGAGCTCTGTCGATACCACACTGCTTCTGCCTTGGCCATCAAACGTACCGCCAAGGAAGATGTCATGATAGGTGACAAGGCAAGTAACATACTCATGTGACTGGAAGATCCGATCCGACTGACCCCATGCCAGCTCATCCGTGCAAATGAAGGCATCATTGCATCCAACCAGTCAGCCAACAGAGACGAGGAAGTCTTTGAGAATCCCGATGAATTCAACATGAATCGCAGATGGCCTGCTGAAGATCCTCTCGGCTTTGGCTTCGGTGATCACCGATGTATCGCAGAGCATCTTGCAAAGGCTGAACTCACAACTGTGTTCTGTATGTATACATATCTTCAACTCTTGGGATACCTATGACTAACGTACTATAGCATCACTATATCAGAAGTTCCCGGATCTCAAGGTTGCGGTTCCACTGGAAAAGATCAACTACACGCCTTTGAACAGGGATGTCGGAATCGTGGACCTGCCTGTCACTTTCTGACGATGTCTGGAATAGTAGATATAGCCGTTTTCTATATAGTTCTGATTAGCACCCGAATGAATTGTCTCAGCTCTACTCACATTGACCTTTAAACCGTGGTTGAAACGATCCCGTTACCTCAAATGGCATTAATGTCTAAACGACTCTACTGTATCAATGCGACATGAATTAATGAATCCGAATGTTAATGTAGTAGTGAATATACGGCGTATTCACATTATATTATTGTAGTGGGCTAAACACTAGCTCCTTAGTTACTAACATTCGAGATCCTATAAAATTGCGATATCGGTAGCCAGCCTCCGCCACTTAATTAAAAGGTCCGATCACTCTCTCCATCTCCCACTACCACTGTGGTTTCAACAGTTTTTGTGATACCATGCGGTTCCGGGAATGTCGCTAGATGAACTTGTGATCCGTTGTTTCCCTCGTTGCTCTCTAGGTCTTTACCATCTTTACCCATTCTACTCATGATGTTGCTTCCGCGGGTAGGGACAGGTGGACCGGTAGTCACCACTACACGGGACGTGAGACCATAGTTTGTTGGGTTTGACTTGTCCCGACTGCTAGAATACCATCCTTCTCCCTGACTACGAGAGGTACCTCGAACGACCTTGGAGATTAGGTTTGCCATGAGAAGTTCTATGTAGAGCTTGACGATATATGCAAGAGGGGCAAATTGGACGTATCTGCTCTAATATTAGCAAAGTTCTGCCCCTGGTGTGCAATAGACTTACAGATAAGGATCTGGTAGACTGAGGAACCCCAGAAGAAGGACGTCCATCGATGTCGAGATAAATACCATTCCAGCGTTGAAATTGAACAGTCTCCAGTATTTATTCAGGCCATCGGCAATCAGACGATACCGCACCAGGTACAAGAAGTACATGTTGAGTGCCAGATCGATGATGAGGAAGAACGTCTTCTCACACTTCTCGAATATCATATTCGTATGCTTCTGCGAAGGTGTAGCAGTGTCGAGGTGTGCAACGGTGAAGATGTAGCAGACGGCGCCATTGACAAACAGAATGCAGACCACGAGCCCCCACTTCAGGTGTCTCGCTCGGCGTCGGTTCGTCATGATCAAGGACACTCGGTTGGCAATGATCTGAGGGAGTAGTTGCGTCTGGATCGACCACAGGATGACGGTAGCGAGGAGAAAGCCCAGACTGTTGGATGATAAGCAAGGGAGACGGCGAGAGGGGATAGCAGGGTACTCACTTTCCAGGGATGATGCCATTGAGGTAGAGGAATGTGATGAGAGCAAAGACGAAGTTGACCACGGCCTCGGTCCAGATCATGTAAAGGTAGGCATTGTGAAGGCTGTGAGTGCGCTTGTAGATGGCTCTGGTCTGTGATACGGCCTTTGCAAACGTGAAGATGAAGACACCGAGGAATAACCCATAGTAAACTGATGCCAGATCAATCATGCTGGGCAGTTAAGAAGACAAATGATGGAAGAATTCCAGGGTCAGGATACGACATGATGGGAACTATATACCTGCAGCTCTCTTTAGGGAGCCAGCTACGGGTAGTTTTCGTATCGTGCATGAGCCCAATCTAAATTGGCTTTGCTAACGTCTGTACCAAACATGCAGCAAAGCTCAGCTGTTCACCCTGTCTCTCGGTAGATGATGATTGTCACCGCTAAGGAGCAGAGTCAGAACACTAGCCGAGAGTACACGGTGGCTTGAAGATCTACGAGCGCTAGCCCTCAAGATGGGAAGTGCTTAGGAGCAATGCCGGCGACACCCCACATAATTGACTTTACCAAGCATGAATGGGCCGTGAAGAACCCCGGATTGTTGAAGAACCTGGGAACGAGTGTCGTCGGTAATCTCTGCGAGTCAGCAAGACATCTTCAAGGTCTAGGATATGGCCCCCGACTCCCCGTCGATGATCAACAGGGAGCTTGCGATACGTAATAACTGACAAAGATAAACTACAGGGAATCCGCGATTGGCGCATGCTGTAAAGATCAGCGCAGGGACTGACTAGGCGCTTCCACCAACGCTGGAATTACAGACAATGCGTGGCTTGAATATCGCCCCATTACTAGCTGAAGTTTCGCCCGACTCGAGTTCAATTTCCAGTAGCTTGAAACAATAAACGCCTTTCCGGCTGCTTTACCATACTAATTGCCGGCTCAACGCTGAGGGTACCGCGACGCACAGGCACTTGCTGAAACCCCAGTCCAGCGAGCAAGACGCTAACACGGAGTTTAAACCTTGAAGCAATACGAAGCAATTATAGGGCTGTCTATCAGTCCATGTAACCCTCTGATCTGGCGCGACTTGCCTGAGCTATGTTGGATCGCGCCGGGAGCACTTCCGTCGGATGGAACTATCGATCTTGATCATCACGGCATTTTGTATCCCCGAAGGTCAGTGCGAACACGATCCTGTTGGGCAATGCGAGAACGCGGATAGATTCAGTATGGAACTCTACCAAACCTTTGGTCAATTGAATGGTCCTCACCATCAATATCTGGATAGTGCGACCCTACTCCAATTTTCAGGCTTCTCAAGGGTATTTACACCAGCTCTGTAACAACAACTCGGCCCGTCGCGAAGTCTCTTAAACAACTATCTCAGCTGCCGGTTTCACATCACTGTACTGCACCGTTGGTCAAACAACGATGCCTCCTCATACTCGTATAACTGCGCAATCATATTTCTTACGACATGTGATGGCGCGGTCTCGCAAGCTTGTCTCAATGAATAGCCCTGTCAATCCATGGCTCACATGCTTTCTTAGCACGCAGCCGTCGTCCTTAGCCTCGGAAACACTCCAGGGGTTCGTGATTGTGTCTGTGCTGACCTGCAGAACTCGGCGCCGCTATCGTATCCCAGCAAATTAGAGGCTTTTAGGCAGACGCAATTGAAACTTGGGAATCGGCAAACGGGGACTGTTCCTGGGCGGCTGTTCAGTGCCGAAGTGCAATATCTGCTTACCGCATTGTTCGGAACCAGAGGTGTAGCGCGCACGAATGAACCTCACCCTTGGAGTAAGGTGTTGCCATTTCTCCATGATAAGGGGCTTCATGATACGATGCTGGGTTTCGAGGTTTCGTTCAACGCCCTAGCCTTGTATATACGGCAGAGAGTTCGTCAAAACTTGGTGACGAGTATTACAGTCATTCCATGAACCGACCTCTTGCTCGCATTGCGCTAATTCTCTTACATCACTTCCGGGAGTGGAAGCTTAGTGAGATGGTATTCTTCGTTTTAAAAAGTCCATTCCCTTGGCATAGTGTCCTCGAACAGAGCTTGGCCACTGGCTCTACCCTTTTTCGTGTCTAAGAGCAGTTCAGGGAAAGACCCAGCTCGAGGTAGAAATAGGGAACAAATATGTATTTTAAATAAATGCAGTGTCTTTATCTGGCAGACCAGAAGCTTCTCCAAACCCAGCCAGGAGATTCTCGGTCAGAACAAAACTCACAGCAATTTACATAAGGCTTCAAGAATCTTGCAAAAGCTGCATTCATTGACTGGCATTTTTTGCCCTCGGCACGCAGATCACTTAGGACTTTTCCTTTGGTGCATTCCAAGATGATACAGCTATATCTTAAGTACCATCTGAGCCTGAAGGATCGTGAGGCTACAGCTTAGATAGAACCCTCGTGGCATCACTTCCCGCCATAACCCGAATAAAACAATTTTCTACGAGAAATTTACAAGACTTGTCTGAAATTTTCCTCGGGTTATTGTACTAAGCGTCTTGCACTGAAAAACAGCAAGCACGCCTCACATAGCGCCGTTGACAGCGCTTCTCTTGGTGCGGAGTCCACCCACCAAGCCAGCGTTAGCGATTTACACAGAATATGCATCTACAAGAGCGGATCGCCAAGTCAACCTCTTACGTCACTGTCGTGATCGTCATCTCTTCAATCACAAATGCTATCTACCATCTCTTCAGTCAAAGTCAGGCAATCCATTACATTATCACGAACTTCCTCGACCAAGTCGCATTTGCGTCAACAACCCAATCATAATGGCCGCTCAAATTACCACCACGACTGTCATCACGGCATTTCCCCTCCTCTTCGGAATAACCGGCACGAGCATTGGAATCTACAGCTTCGTGTCTCCCTACAATGCCATGCGCCTCTTTGGTCTTCACGCTCCAGCGACTGAGAAGACCTCTTCGTCTCAGTCCGAAGCTTTCCAGAAATCTCTCATCTACGCGACTGGACTACGAAACATCGGTACAGGTCTCAGCACTCTTGGTCTCTATGCGTTCTGGCAATTCTCCCCGATCTGTCAAGTGAGCCCGTTAGCTGCGGCGGTTACGAAGAAGTGCATGGGAATCTGCTTCATCCTCGGTACCTTTGTCGGAGTTGGTGATGCTGTTATTGTGCGGCAGTTTGCGAATAAGGAGTATGTTCAAGGAGAGGCAGAAGAGAAGGCTGCCAGTGCCAGCATTAACCATGGTATCACGGCAGTAGTCATTCTGGCAACTGGCCTCTTTTTGTATTTGTAGTTCAATGGGGTTGCATGGTTGTCAAACCTCATATGCTGTTGGAACCAGGACTTTACATCACCCATGTATAACATCTCGACTTTTGTTTTATTATTCCGCCCTACAAGCTTTAGCATGTCGCAAGCAGAGAATTGGGAAATTTCAATAAAATTAGTTTCTCCCTATGTTTATACACCTCATTACCTCCCCATGATGTTCAGCATCTTGCAAAATACCAGACCGCAAACCCAGTCACCACCTCAGTGTCTGTCGTTCGAATCGACTTTGTCTCCAGTATAATGGATGGCATTGGGAATGGCTCTCTTGACCCCTTCAGGCAAACTTTCCTGCACCTTTTGTGGCAACAGGGATGCCTCCCCGCCCTTCGCATATGAGATGCCGCCAGATGAGCCAGGCGTAGACTCAGTGGGGTGAATCTGAAACGTTAGACATAATGATTTTAGACTGCTTGTAAAAGACGTACAGATTCAGGAAGAGCATGTTCAAGACCCTTGGGCATTTGTCGTTGAACACCTTCAGAGAGCTTCGAGGGAGCTGTGGCGTGAGACATGCCCTGACCACGCTCGTTCTGCGCATAACCCGACATTTTTAATGTTGGCAATAATTGATTGGCAGAAATAAAGAATAAGGTATCTTTCTGTTTGCCTGGCGAGAGATGAGCCTCTTGGCGTTTAGACGGCTGTTCTTATATCTGTATGTTGAAGGACGAGTACATGACAACGTCATGGGTGTTTCATGTGAGGGTGGCGTTGAGAATCTGGATAATAAAATAAGAATTATGATGTCGCAACCTTCAAATTACCTTTCCTCGGACTATCAGGGTCGTCTCATCCTGTCAATGTCATGACTTCGCATCTATGACGTAGCGTTTTCATGCTTCCCCACAGTGTAGCCATTTGGAACGAGAAACGTTGTCGATCGAATTGGGGCAGTTGATGCGCGACTGAGGAGGATAAATGTTCCGGGAATCTCAATGTTGTGCATGTGAAAGGGTGGTGTTGTGTTGTGCTAGAACGACGTGTCTTGGTACGAGAAAGATTGGTAGGCGGACTTTTATCGTACTCTCATCCCATTTCAACACAAGACTATGGACACAATCACTGATCAACTCGACTATGCTCTTCTTTTACCACCAAATTCATATTGAAAAAAAAAAAAAGAATATCAAGGTACCAATTGTGTTATCACGGGGGTCAGCCCGACTCGAGCGCTAAGAAAATGGACAAGAAATATTGAAAGAAAGCGGTGATGTAGGGTACGTGCATTTGGCTGAGAAATTAATGGAGCAGGTGAGATAGATTTATCTCCAAATCAAGCACAACCTGTAACACCTTAAGCTAGCGCCCTATCGTCTATTTCTGTCATGGGTCACCGAGTACTCGCCCCACCCTACCTTCCTCGCAAACAACGGGCCACGTGATCAGGCGTCACCGCGTAACTCTCAGTACGCGTCCCCTGAGGCACCTCTGGAGTTAATTGCCACCAATTACCAAGAATTCTCACAGCATCGCTAGTCGTCTGTTCCCAATCTTGTTTCACGCGACATTGTTTTAAAAGTTCTGTTTCTATTATTTCATCCGGGCGTATCGGATCACAGAATGGACCTATCCGACGAAGACTTCGACTCTGGAGACGCTCTCTTTGACGACGTTGATGAAGATGACCTCATTTTTGACGAACTCGAAGAGGCGGGGTTGATGAATCCGACCAAGAAGCACAGCAGAGACAAGGAGAATGATGTTCAAGATCAAGCACCTGCTAAAAAGGCTCGACATGGGCCCCTCGGTAGTTCAAATGGCCGACTTGGCGAGACACAACGAATTCAGCTTGCGCGAAAGCTGTTGGCCGACAAATTTGGCTACAAAGAGTTTCGCCATGAGCAAGAGGCTGCAATCGCCAGACTTCTTGACGGAGAGAATGCACTTGCGGTCTTTCCGACGGGCGCCGG